GCCTTACATCAGTCCATCACCGGTTCAGAGCAGCTGTTCAAGTCTTCAGCAGGAATAAAGCTACACTTCCAAGATGTTACACCTTGCCGGAGCAGCTGGCGGCTTCATGTGCCATTGAGATATCTGGTTTGATGAGAGATCAGCCGCTCATATCGTGCTCAAGCTTGAGCTTGCTATTGACCAGTACTTTTGTATTATTACCCAAACATTCCTGGGCTGTATGCACCTTGACACCCAAGTACTGGTACATGGCGATAGATTCCGATCGAGCTCCCCCTATACTCCGTGGCATATATCCCTCATTCCCGGCCATGCATGGACGCAGCCACCTACCACAGCACGCAGGAAAAGGAATCCTAAAAGTGGCCTAGGCCAGACGCCTCACGGAATGTTACCTGCCAACAATTGCCTGGTTGAGTAAATCGCCAAAGGAAGCTCCCTCCTCGGCAAGGACGATCGTGCATGAGGAGCAAGCTACTTGTACTCGGTCAAGAGGCAGGTCATCTGCAAGCCGCAGTTCTGTTGTGTAAGGGATCTTCGGCATGCAGAGCTCCGATAATACCCACGAATCATTGGCCAGTCACTGATAGTTGATTAGTCGATGTTGAGGAGGAGATAACCTCTCTCAGCTGTTTTCAGTGGCGAAGATGGTCGCTGCAAAGAGATTTCTAGGAGATCACATCATTTAAGCAGAAAGTACTGCAATGTTGATGCAGTACAATGTCACAGGGTGCTCCTGGTAAGCTGTTCACATAAGGTACGAGAGTGATCGACGAGATCCGGGTATAGAATCGACAGGCTTGCCTTAGGCATTACAGGACGGACGGTTATCTCGGTGATGACATCATCAGGCATGGCGATCCCGAGCGGTATTATTAATAATTCAATCTACAGGGAAATGCCAAGTAGCCTAGGGCTTAGGGCTTCACCTTGTTGGATCACACGTGGCAAGACAATTCATGCCTGAGGCATACAACGCGCGGCGCGCTGTTCGGAAGAAAGAAACTCCGCACAGCTCGCAAGTCGCAATGGATCCTAGTGAGGCTGTCCCTGTAGATAGATCCGTTGCCAGCATCGGACCATCTCAAGCTTCACTGCATTGGACCTCATCACTTGATCCGCAATGGCGAGGAAGTTAAGAGCAGCTGCGCAGGCAGCTGCCAAATCAATGAGTATGCTTGCCTATCTTCCATCGCCTTCATCCCCTTGTTCTGCTCAAAAAACAATCACCGCGCGAATCCACGTACTAACAGCCGTTTGTAGAAAATGTACCGCCGCCGCTCCCCGACGCATCGGACGAAGAAATGGCAGACGCGCCCCCGTCACGCGAATCTTCACCGGCTGAGGACCCCGGCGAGCCCTCAGAAAAAGAGTCCGACGTCGAACCCCAAAAAGAATCACCCCAGGAGGAAGAGAAAGCACCTGAACCAGCCACACCCGCCCCAGAACCCACCGCTCAGGAATCAAATCCCGTGTCGCAAGCAGACACGCCCACGCAAAATCTCGGCCGTCCAGCGATTCCCCGAAAGCGGCGTCCTGGGCGTCCGCCCAAGAATCGTCCTCCCGACTGGGATTTGGCAGACGGCAGTGCGCCGCCGCCAGCGCATTCGGGCACACCGGCGAAACGACGACGAGGTCGCCCCGCGGCGAGTGGTGGAAGATGGGCGCGCAACCGGGGCCCATCGCATGTCACGCAGGTGCCGATCGACAAGGAAGGGAACATGATGGATGTCATCGACGACGAGGTGGCGCTTCCGCCCGACCCAGAGGGCGAGACCAAGGTCGACAAGAACGGTGTGCTCAAGGACGGCCGAGAATACCGGGTTCGGACGTTTACCATCCTCAACCGCGGAGATCGGCTTTACATGTTATCGACGGAACCGGCACGCTGCATTGGGTTCAGGGATTCGTATCTGTTCTTCCAGAAACACAAGCTCCTGTACAAGATTATCATCGACGATGAGGCCAAACGCGATCTCATCGAGCGAGAGATTATCCCTCACTCCTACAAAGGGCGTGCCATCGGTGTCGTGACGGCTCGGTCGGTGTTTCGCGAATTCGGTGCCAAGATCATTGTCGGTGGGCGGAAGATCATCGACGACTACAACGTCCAGGCGGCGAGAGAGCGTGGAGATGTCGAGGGCGAGCTTGCAGTCCCAGAAGATAAGCTACCGCCCCCAGGCGAGCCGTACAACAAGAACCAGTACGTGGCGTGGCACGGAGCCAGCAGCGTCTACCACACCAACGCCCCGTCTCTCCCGCTACCCACCGGCAAGGCCATCGACTCGAAAAAGCGCAAGGTGACTGTGACTGGCGATAACTGGATGCTTGAGCATGCTCGGGAGGCCAGGTATGTCCTCACGACCCATCTTCTCTCTGTGTTTAGACAAATGACTTAACGCTTTCACTAGTTCCTTCAACTCGCTTATTCTGAACGCGCGCCGCGCGAACCTGGAAGGCGTCTACGACATCCACACGAATGCTATTCACTACCCCAAGATCATGCAGCCATCGCACGCCCGCTGGGAGCGTGTTCCTCCCCCAGACCCGCGGGTCACCGCCAGACTCGCCAAGGGATTATCCACGCTGAGCCTGACAAACGGAACGGATGAGGACGAGGCCGAACAACCCACCGACCACACCACCGAAGAGCCCACAGACACCGAGCCTCAAACCATCTTCTCCACGATCCCCCCGGCTCTTTCCCGCCGGTTCGCAATCCACGACACCGTCTTCGAAACGCCTCCGTACTCCAACATGGGCATTCCCGGTCCGGACGGCGACGTGCACGATCTCGGCAGCAACGGCCTCATCAGCACCGCCGACTCGCTGCACCCGGAGTTCGTCGGCCCAGAGATCCTCGCGGAGCTGCCACCAGAGTGCAAGGAGGCGCTCGTCGAGGCCGCCGCCCGCGAGTGGGAATGGAAGTCGAAATGGCGCAGCGAAGCGATCGACGGGCAACGCACGACGCCGCTGAAGAGCTATGCTTGGTTTCCGTAGCTTTCCTCCGTTTTCATTCTTGCTGTACTTCGCCGCGCCACTTTCCATTTTCATCGCGGTCCTCATTTCTCTATGCTATCACATCGCAATCGTATCTGGCATGGGCAGGGTTTGTATTTCGTCAACGGAAAGGAGAACAAAAGGTGCTTTTTCTTTTACTTTTTTCATTATACGTGTGCTAAACCCCTATTAATCTATCTTTTTATTTCAATAATGGTAGGGGCCGGGTGTGATCCATCACTCATCAGATAGAAATTCGATTCCTTCTGATACGATATCGGATATATATTGGCCTTGTAGATCGAGATCGTTTCCTTGAAATGCAGTTGCAGGGTGTATTGTATCTATGCGCGAGACCATTACCTAACGGTGTACTAGGACAGATTCAATCCCGATCGGGTAGACAAATGAGATGCTAATCAAAAGGACATAAGACTTCGTTCAGCCATCGGGTGGGGGACGTTAATATGACAGGAAGGTAGGTAGAAAAGTCGCGTAGCTCAAAGCAAACCGATTTACGCCGACTAGATAACTCGAAAGGAAAAAGTAACGGAAGCGGGGCAAACTCCAGTCCATTCAGGTATATGCATGACTGCTAAGAGGATGTGAGGAGGGAAAGACGGCGGGGAGACAGATGGAATGCTCAGGATCAGCCCATGGCCATCTCGGCGCGCAGCTTCTCCAGTTCTGCCTCTTCGTCTTCCTCTTCCGCCTGCTTCGTTTTGGCTTCGACTGATATCAATGCATTGTTAGTCGTTGTCTGTGAAGAACTGACTGCTGGGTGCTTACGCTCTCTGTTGCCGGCGGCAGGTAACCGGTTGAGATCGGCGACGGGCACCGACCCGGTCTTGAGCATGCGCTCGTCCATGACCTCCTGTTCGAGACCCTCGAGTTCCGCCTCCAGTTCGGTCTCGTCGGGCTGTTCGCCCAGAGGGTTGTTCGTGATGGCCGTTGCGATTTCCTCGCTGAGTTGGTGTTGTTCCCGGAGTTGGTCCCTATTCTGTCAGCATCTGGCTACCCTGTGTCTATATGGCGAAAAACACATACATCGTCTCATCGACCTTGTCGATCGTCATCGAGCCATGAATCTGTGTCATGGCAGCGCCAGCCGCCTTCATTGCGTTCAGCGTCTCCTGGTTGATATTCGCCGCTTCGATCGAGTAGATCTGCTGTTCGAGCTGGGCGATCTGCGCGGTTGTCTGTTCGAGGTTCTTCTCGTGGACCTTTTTCCTTCGCAGAGCGGCTTTGGCAGCTGTGGCAGACAGTTAATCTTGTATTCCCTGACAAGAACAAAACCTAAGGCAAACGCGCACCATTCTTATTTGTTGAGACGTTCTTTCGAGCGACTGCCTCTTGCTCCTCCATCAGATGCTCCAGGTGCTTTTCTCGCTTCTGCAGCATGTCCAGCTGCTCTCGCAGCAGGAGGATCGCGTTCTTGGGCGCATCCTTGCGCTTCTGAGCGGCGGCACCGCCGAACCAGGACCACATTATGGCTGTAAGAGATATTACTCTCTTTTATAATTCGGTGTGGTAGAGCTTGAGCGAGAGAGACCTTAGTTGAGGCTTATCGTTGGCCTTGATAGGTCTGGAAAGCGGTCGAAGGCGGTGGAGGCAGACAACAGCCAGATAGAGGAGGCGGTTTACTGGATTGACCGAAGGAGTGGGTGTCTTGATATGTAGATCGACTTCACGAAGGATTATCTAGTAATGGGAAAATAGAAACGAACTAAAAATGGCCGTTGCCTGGTTGCAACCAAGACGGTAACAAGCATGCGTAATTGCTATCTAGGCAGAGAGCAAGCGGGCGAGATGATTCCCCTCTTCACGGCGGAAGATCCTATGACATGCGCGCTAAGCCTATCGGAGGTGGACCGTCACGTGGTATCTTTACAGTTCCCCTTCATTAACATCGTTGAGTATCGTTTAGAATTGATTCTTGTGTTAAATTCATCCTCAGATCATATCATAGCAGAATGACCGGGCCGTAAGATCACCGAGGGATGAACGGCCCTCTTCCCTCCACCAGAGCCTTTCTCTCCGACCTCCCTTCTCTTCCGACAGGCTCCAAAGTTCGCTTTCTCGGTTGGTGCGTCTTACCATACATTGCGTATAGTATCCTCTAGGACATTAGTATGTCTACTACAGACGTAATTTAGCTGATATACTTTAGCGTGAGAACATATCACGTCACTACAGGCCACTTAGTCCTAGAACACGACTATCCCCGCCGTAGATTTTCCACCAACGCAGGAACAGAACCCGCTTCTGTGGCCGTCGATGTCAACGCGGTTCTGGAATCTGTGACGGCGGAGGAACTGCGTGTCGGGGCTTGGGTCAATGTCGTGGGTTATGTGAGGCGCTCGGACGGCGGTGATCATGATGTCCTCCGCAAGCTGATGATGTCGAATCCGGTGTATGTGGAGGCTGTGATTGTTTTCTCAGCGGGTACAGTTGAGCTGGGCGAGTATGAAAGGGTTCTGAGGGAAGCGTTGGAGGTCGAGCGCAGGATTTTGAGGCCAGATTGAAGGCAACCCTCTGTGAGTCTTGTCTGCTATTGATTAGTTGTGGTTGGTGTCATTAAACATAAGTCATATTTAGGTTATCTGCTATGCTGCATGAAATATGACGCCTCTATGCATGAGTGAATCACTTTTCTAGACACTTTTTTGAGAAGACTAAACCTCCATCTTCACTTGCTCAGCTGCCGCGCTGGGTTCAACGCGCTGCACCAGGCGTTTCCGCTTCCCCTCCAATCGCATCTGATCCATTTGCATGCGCATAATCAGCGCGCTCTTCCGACGGATTTTATACCCGTACTTGTAGAAAACAAACGGAATCGGAATGATGGCCACTTCCAGCAATCCCAGCAGCGTCCCCGACCAGTTGGGCCCGATCCCCGCGTACATATACGAGCCCACCAGGGGCAATACACCACCCAGGATACTCCGAATGACAGAGTTGCCCGCCATGGCCGACGCGGCGTACACCCCGTAACTCTGCGTGAGGTAGTTGGACGCATAGATGAAGACGCCCGTGTTGCCGGCGCCGAAGAGAACTCCGGCAAGGATGGGAACGACCCAGTGGATTGACGCGGGGGCGCAGGTCCAGGCGAACCAGAGCTCGCCGGCGGGGATGAGGACGGCCGAGATGCAGACGATGGATACCATGGCTTCGGGGGCCACCTTGCCCGTTTCCGGGTCGATTTTGTGGCTGTTGATCAGCCGGCGGATCAGCGGTTCGCAGGCGATGGTGATGAGGCAGCCAATGCCGATTCCGGAAAAGGCGAGTCCGGAGAGGCCCAGGGACCAGCCGCGGATCTGACGGAAGACGATGGGATACGCGGTAAAACAGAGGTAGAGAATACCGTACACGATGGCGATGTAAATGTTCCAGAAGATACTGCCAATGTCAGCCGTGGAACAAGTCCTAGTGTGCAGGGGGCAAGCTCACCAAATGGGTTCGGTGACCGCCATGACAAACGGACGGCCGAGGTTCAGCTTCAAGAGCTCGCCCAGAGACATCTTCTGGTCATAGCGACTCCACCAGCGTGATTCGCCCGTCTCTTTGCGGAGTCTGGCCGCTTTCTTCTGCAAGATGACAGGGCTATATGTCTCTCTCATGACGCACGAAAGGGCCAGCGCAACTCCGGACAGTATGAGGGCAATCCAGTCCATCCAACGCCAGCCCAGATACTGCGTCACGAAACCGCCAATGATTGGGCCCAGCACTAGTGTGTTCGAGTCAGTTGTACGGTGCTGTCATCCAGCAGGCGGGTAACAACGAACCTGGGCCGTTGACAGGACCAATACTCCAGATGGACATGGCCAGGGCTCGCTTGTCGTCTTGCACCAGATCGGCAACCATACCCGGAGCACTAGAGATCATGACACTACCGAAGAAGGCGCCGATGAAACGGACGATGATGAGTGCCTCGACGGACTTGCTAAGCGCACAGGGGATAATCAGGACGGTGAAAACAAACAGACACCCGATGGAGACCGGTTTGCGGCCGTAGATCTCGCTCATCGGAGCCATGAACATCGACCCGATGGCCAGGCCAACCAGGTAGAAGGTCAAACCCAGAGTGACGATAGTCTCTGACGTGTGGAAATCGGACGCAATAGCTGCTATGCCACAGGTATAGGAAGTCGAGTAGAGGACACTGGAACAGTTGAGTCAGTTGCTTCTCAGCCAAAACCGCGAGCCGACGCACTCACACAATCAATGTGTTGAAGGATAAGAACGCCACAGCCATGGCTTTGTATCGGAACGACCAATTCTTTGGATTCGCTTGATCGTCGTCACCCTCATAGTCGACCTCGAAGTTGGGATCCGTGGTGCCAGTGGTACCGATCGAAGTCACTTTTCTTGCCAGAGACGGCTCTGACAGTCGTGATGCTCGTGTATTCAGCGTCCGCAGCGCTTCCAGTTGGTCGATTGTATCGTTGGAGGTGGTTGACTCGCCGATGGACTCTACATCTGCGGGCAAGGCTTCTTCCTGGCTGTGCTCCGGCCATTTCTTAGGTTGCGACATTTCATCTGTCTGCAGTGTGATGGGGTCGACTGTTCTGTTTGTTGAGTCTGTCTTGTGGTTGGATTGCGCTCCGAGACCAAGGTGACATACAGGGTGTTCGAGGGTCGGGATGGTGTACAGTCGCCAATATGGATTGATTATATAGTTCAAGCACTCATTCTTCGGCAATATGTGAGTTTGTATGCAAGGCGAATTCTGCAATATGTCGCGTGATGCACAACTCGACCTCCAAGACCGACAGCAAAGAGAGATGGGATTCGAGCTAGAGCAGTAAAGAGAAATGATGGACCTTATAATTTCCCTGGTGAAAGCGACTGAGACGATCAGTGGTAGGGGAAAAGGGCCGGTGGGGCCTCAGGTAGAAACCGTCATGCAGACTAGAATAAGAAGAGGACTAGACTCTGAAATGACTCGATATATCGAACGGTGAACTACCGAGTTAGTTTGTTCTAGAGCGGTTTAGATCTAGCGATATACTAGATGATCCATGACTAGATAGTTGGGACTAGGACATAGAGACATCAACATCTGGAGTGTTCAATCTCAACGGCTATCTAGATACTAGGCTATATTCTTGCTACTTGCTAGATGGACCCAGACACAGACCGAGGCCAAAAATGCTTGGACGGTTAATAGTTTCTTTCGGTTGGTAATGTCGGAACGAGTTGACCCCTCCCCGCATGGTCGAAGTCCACGTAGCCATAGAAGAGTCAAGATGTCCACAAGACTGGTGGTAGCCAAGATGCATGCTGTATGTACGAACTCTGGAAATGAGGTGATTGATCATCGTCCAAGTGGCAGTGGTGGTGGATCTTTGATGGTGCAAAACTGAGCTCGGAATCAATTCCGTGATAGCAGATACCGGCTCCCCCACAGTCCAGACTGAATACTTTCAATTACACAGTCCACTGAGATCGAAAGAAGGTTATTGATGCCCCAGATATGCGGATACCAGAATACACTCCACAGTCCCAGTCCATAGTACCGTAGTAGTAGTGCCCCATATTCAATTGGAGACACAGAGTCAGGGGAGAAGTTTTTCTACTCGGCCTTTTCTCCGCGCAGAACATTCGTCGATTGGCACGAGAGTTGATGGGGTCCGTTCACTCTGCCCACTTGGATGCCAGGTTCCGGTTTGCCGCGATGCCGGTTTGCCGATTACATACTCGAGACGTCCACTATGACTTGGCGTAGAGAGAAGGCCATAAGGCATCAATATATGCACCGTTGGGCATGATTCATCGACTGCTCTACAGAGTAAATCCGATTAGACTGGTCCTTGAGATATCCATCTGTACAGAGACACGTTTGCATGACGGGCAGTCATTTATAGTTGGTTTTGTATCTCAAGGGTGCTACAGACCCGTCTTTTTCGTTCACAGGGTGGTGAAATATTTTCGTAGCTACAGACAGTTTGATTCCCCAAAATGTTGCACTTGTACATGGAGAAGGCTTCAGTATCGTCAACAATCAACACGTCCATGATACAGTGTAACATTAAAAGTAACAGAAACTCTCTAAGCGATCCGTTTCCCCACAAATCTCAGCCAATCAGTATTGTTCCTGTTTTAAAACACTGCTCTTCCATGGTAAGGTACCTAAAAGGTACCTGCACTTTGTACTTTCTCTCCCTCTGACAGAGGTATCTGATAGGTACCTCTGCCAGAAATCTAGTTTGTACTTGGCAAATGAACTCATAGACCCGTCAAGGCATGCTTTAATGTCATGAAACTTTGCAAGTCATGGAATTTCTTCTACTTGTGTCACTAGTCCCGAAAGAATGTTCAGGGGCAGCATCCTGTTGTACTACTTAAGCACGTGGAGCGGAACGCCCAGTCCCCACTCACTAAGGTTACTGTTATTTGTTGCAAAATGCAATTGACACTTGACAATAGAATTGTCGAAGAGTGTTCTTCAGCTCAACTCCTTGAAGTATATTTGGTCTCTTCGGATTCATTACGACCGGTCTTTGTTAACGATATCATGATGAAAAGGGAGGATCCTGTCACTTCCTAAACATGGATCATGTGGATCAGATCCTTGTCGCTTGTCTAACCGAAGCGACTAAAAGTCTCGACCCAGCTCGCTTCGGTGGCCTTGAAAGTAGATGATTCCAACCCCAGCAACACACCAGTCAACCTGTGCTTCGTTCACTGGGGCTCTGAAGGTCTCAGCATGTGAATGATGGATTTTTGAGAACTACGTCTTCAATACGTTCTCGTCTGCTTCCCGTACAGTCTTCCACGAGCGACAAGCTCACTACTGGCAATCGAGCAGTTGCTATTGGCTTTGTTTCATATCAATCGTCGGACAAACGCTTCGATCGAGGTGATACTGCTGTACACACTATTCCGAACCAGGCGAATCTGTTCGCTGAACTTGTCAACCTGCCAAATGTCGTTCATTATTCTCGCCGCTTCTATTGCTGGCCTGGTCGCCCTCTACCTCTACCATGTCAACCGAGCAATGACTAAAGTCCCGGAGGAAGCTCGTCTATTATCTCCGCGCCGCTGGACCGTTGAGGAAATCAAGGAAGCTTATCGAAAGGCGATTGAGTCCCCGGTAGATGTGACCAAGAGCCTTCCTCCGAAGCAACATAGACGATACATCGTTGTGGGCGGATCAGGTATGTCAATCCCATCAATTGATCCAGGCAACTGCTAATGAATCTCAGGACTTGTTGGAAATTGGATCGTAACCCATCTTCTTGCGCGCGGCGAAGACCCGACTGCAATTCGCGTCCTGGATCTTCAGTCACCCCGTCAGCAAATCCTCGACCAGGGAGTGGCCTTCGTCAAAATCGATATCACCGATGGAAAGGCCGTTCAGGCTGCATTCGCGCAACCCTGGCCGCAACAGGTCACCAGCCTTCCATTGACTGTCTTCCACAATGCCGCCGTGATCAGACCTGGAGAGAGACACAAGGCCTTTCTCCAATTCTGCACCAGAGTCAATGTTAACGGGACCCGGAACGTCCTGGCCGCGGCAAAGCAACACGGCGCAAGCTGCTTCATCTCGACCTCGTCCGGATCCGTGCTCCTCCGCCGTCCATCGTTCTGGATCGCTCCCTGGACCAAGTGGCCCAAGCGCGTCGTGCAGATTATCAGTGATGCGACAGAGACGCCCAAGGAGCACGACCAGTTTTTTGGCAACTACGCCGTGTCCAAAGTCGAGGCCGAGCGCATCGTCCGCGCCGCCGACAGCCTCGAATCCAACTTCCGCACGGGCTGCATCCGACCCGCCAATGGCATCTATGGCGTCGGCGACACCACCATCACAGGAATGTATTTGCTCAAGGGCGGAGCTCCAAGGTACGTCTCGTCCATCCCCTCAGCGTAAACTTGCATACAAGCCTAACCCCATCAACAGCTGGACCTACCCCGTCATCCAAAGCTTCGTCAATGCTGAAAATGTCTCCATCGCCCACCTCCTCTACGAGCAGCGCCTCCTCGAGCACACCACATCCCCAGCCCAGCTCCCCAACATCGGCGGCCAAGCCTTCACCGTCACGGACCCCAACCCCGCCATCGCCTTCAGCGACCTCTACCTCCTCATGACAACCCTCGCTAAGACCCCCATCCGCTTCCCGCGCGTCGCTCCCGTCCCCTTTCTCCTTCTTTCGTATCTGCTGGAATGGTACGCCCTCCTCCAGCACCTCTACCTGCCCCGTCTCCTGCCAAGGATCACGGGTGATCTGGCGCAGCTCCAGCCCGGTCTGTTCGCCATCTCGGACGTGCATACTTTCGCGGACGACTCGCGCGCGCGCAAGGTCCCCGCCGACGGGGGGCTAGGCTACGTTGCGCCCATTACGACGTTGGACGGGATGTGCAAGCAGGTGCTGGAATGGAATCGGAGTGCTGGGGCGGAGACCGTTGCTGCGGTTGCTGCTGTTGGTGGGAAAGGGGTGGTCAGTGTCTCTGAGGAGGGGGTGGATGTGAATTTGGTGGTTCCGTCGAAGAAGTTGTGACCATGTTGTATCTGATCTATCAATGAAATCCGCGCGGGGAAATTCTTGATGTGGTTAATCTGTTTTGCATTGCTTACGCGCTGGCTACCTTCTAAATGGTTGCAATTCTCTGAATAGCACATCATAACCTGTCACGACGGACATCCACAAGAGTTGCCAGTGCCATCAAAATCCTATCTAGATTTCAGCTCCATTCCAGGGAAGCCAAGGTGTATGAAGATTGACAGTTTCTTCAGGCTGCCTTCCCACTAAGGCTCAACGTAGACAGTTCCCACCCTCGCTGGATTCACCGAGTTCGCAGGATCGGCAGCGTTCAAGGAGTTGGGTCACTCCTGCCGTAAATGCTTTAAGCAGTGCCAATCAATCTGACATCCTTGGACGCAGCAAAGTGGCTGACAGTTTCCACCGCTCGATTCTGGCGCTAAATGGTGCCTGTCTGGGTTTTCTCCAGGCTAGTATGTAGGCTCGGTGTTTTCGCCTTGTGAGCGATGCAAAGCGGCTGCTGAAGGTATTTTCTGAACGCGAAACGGCCATAGTAAGGAGAGGCACGTCAGAAGATGAAGCCATGCCTTGCCAGACTACCTATTGCACCGGCTCGAATCAAGTCATACACAGAGTGACCCAAGTGAAAATCCACTTGCAGCACAATATCATTTGTGCGAGTTCGATCACTACCGCGCCTGCTGCTGAGCAAGCCGACGTCTCTGCTCCAGAATCTGCAACCGCAGACCCTCCGAGGCCAGTTCCACGTCAAGGATGGCACTGACGCCACGCTTCCAAGTCTCCTCCAGACTGACCATCTCGCCCTGGCTGGCTTCCTGGGCAAGCTTCCTCTGCTTGTTCACCGCCTCCGCCGCCTCTTTGGTCTCGGCCAACTCTTTCTCCAAACCTCGGAGGATATCCTCCAGCTGGGAGTTGCCAATTAGCCACGCGTTCTTGCCGTACTCCTCCAGCAGCGCCAGGTTCTCGTGTCGCATGGAGAGATGAGAGCTGGCAGTGTACGCTCTCTGCAGGGTGCGGCGCCATGCATCCAGATCAGGGACTTCTCCGTCCGTCGAGCGCGCAGGCGGCTCCGGTGCTTCGTACCGTGACAGGTCGATTCCGCCAGTCAAGGGCAGCCCGGCGGCCTTGCGGTCGATCTCCTGTTGTATAAGGGGGGAGAATCGCGGTTCTGGGAGCTCGGGGATGGCGGGGTGAAGAGTCGAGGCATGGCCTGGGGGTAATTCCGCTGCGATGAGTTGCTGTGCAGCTGCGCGTGCTTGAGCAGACGGCTCAGCGTCGATGTCTGGTCAGAAGGTCAGGAGCTATGGCCGGAAAGTCCAGTGGCAGATTGGAAAGACTTACAAGGGAGGGAGTCGTGAGATTCGTTAATGACGGGCATTTTGTCGGCAAATAAACTCGACAGCGATTGAGACCTATGTATTGTGTTGAAGAATGCCTGGAGATATTCTTATGAGGAGTGCTCTCAATGGGTACGACGAACACGGAAGCCCTCAATTTCGCTATCGCCTTGGGCGGTGAGACATGACATGCTTAGTCAGCGGATTCTTTTTCCACGGCCCGTTGCCGTCTTTGTACGTGATGATTTAGACTGTTTAGACCTCAGTTACTCTCTGACGGAGTGAAAACATCAATGGCGATGTTAATTGTCTTGCAAATAAGTATATGTCATGACGGCGGGAAGTCCGTCCGGGATCGAGGCATACTGTCGATTGACTCTGGCCTTGCAAGGTCGAACTCAAGGTCAACTATGCACGGTGGCTGAAACAACTATCTTCGTTCTGCAGGGCACAGTAGTATCTGCAGGTTAGATTGAATGACATCACGTCGGTTATATATATCTGGAAGTTATATTAAGCCAAGTCAGCAGGACATTTCATGCATTACCATCAATATCTGAGATAGGATGCGGAGACGAGGCTTGTTCATTCTTGGTTATTGAAAACCACCAATGGAAGCACAGCTCATTCTCTGATGATAGACCGAATGTCAGCTTGGACATGAGGTGATATGGGAGGCTGCCAATGCACTTCGTTTGTCTGCGTTGGTGTGTCTGAGCGCAACAACCCGATATTGAAGTCATCGAGGTGGTTGTCTCGCCGCGGTCCGCGATCATCCCCCGCTATATTCCCTACTACGTTGCTGAGCCAGCTTCGTGCTAGCTAGACTATGAGAGCTTGCTGGCCAATACTATAGTGCTGCGAGCGCTGACAACATTCAGACCACGTGCGGCGGATGGTTCAACAAGTACAAGTGACCGCTATGACCTGGTTTCAGGGCCGCGACGGCACCGGTGCCAACGAATCCAAAGAAAAAAGAAGCTAGATGCAATGCGCAAGAAAGGACAATCAGGGAAATTAACTCCGAGGAGTAAGACGGCTTGGGGAGGCAGTCGCATTGACTGCCTCCCCAACCCGCCCAGTCCCTCTTGCATGTCCACTGTATTAGATGGTGGACATGAAGAGGGACTGTTGTCTAACCCGCCTCGTGCTCATTTCGTTGAAATTATTGACAGGAGAAACGAGCAGAGGCGGACTCGAACCGGGGTGCAGCAGTGCAGACTACTGACGCTACAGAAGCTGTGATTCAGATGTGAATCGACAGCTTCTGCAGGCGCTCTGCCGCTGCACTACCGACCCCGGTTGGTTGACTGGAGAAGATAATGCGTGCTCATCTGTTGCATGGTGGACTGCCTAAAAGGGTAAGGCTGCTTGGACCCTCGGATGCCTGAGAAGCAGGGCGTCTTGCTAGGAGATCTCTTGCTGTAGCATAGCAGAGGTCGACAGGAGTATGCCAGGGAGATACAGAAGCGACCCTCGCATACTGCTCACTTTCTTCATTGGTAACGGCCTTGTAAAGCATCACATGCGATTCGATTCGGAGCTTGGCAGCTCCCGTAAAGAAGTATGCAATATAGAGAACTAAAAGAACAAGCCTAGAAGCCTAGAAACTAAGGATGCATACTGTATTACTGACAGCCTGAAACGGAAGTATCTCCGTCTGACGAACATCGTGACAAACCTCCACAGGGCCCCATATGATTTTCCATCAACCATAAATGACCCACTGATAAACCCTCATCACGATATCATCGCCTCACCACCAATAAATGCCGTCTTCTGCAGATCTCACGGTATTTTGAGGAAGCGGGGAATGAACGACCACGTACCCAATCAAGTATAGCGGCGAAGGATGGCAGCGTGACGACGGCCACAAGCGATGCTACCCTCCTGCTGCATTCCTGTCGATCTGCTGGTCATGCGCTCCCCTGCTGTACCTGTACGAGGTCATTACCTGTTCCTATGTGGCCTTCGCTTGAACACTGTCAGTCTGGCCATTCGGAGAATAACAATGTGATTCGATCGATAAGAAGACCGCGACTCCCGCAGGGAAAAGCAAACAAGCGGGAACCTGCTTTCTGATGTCATCAACATAACAGGTCACAGCCCGCATAACCTGAGCTAGGACTGTCCACACAGTTTCCGTTCGCAAACATGGCGAACTTCAGATTCGGAGTGGCTTTGGCCGGGACTCTCGTGACGGCTCTTGTACTGTTGCAGCTATTGTCTGTTGTGCAGACCTACAATCCACCGCCCAGCTTCAGCTTTGTTGGCAAGGGATCACGATGGGAACACAGGGCGGCAGATAAGGTCTCCGATGATAGCGTCTTTCTGCTGGGGGCTGGAAAAGCAGACATCACTGGGTACTGATAATCATGTTTTGCTTCATGCTATAATTCTTCGTTATAGATGGACATCCCGCTGACTTCATGGTGATAGCCCGGTGGTGGAGGTAGCCCTCAGCGGATATGCTATGCTGGATCAGATTGGCACAGGTCTGCGGCAGAGAATTTATTCTCGCTCCTTCATCTTTGCAAATCCGAATCAACCAGACGATACCTTTATTTACATCGTCATCGACGCGGTGACGGGTGACACTGCGGTGCGACATGGAGTCCTCCAAGCGCTCGCGAATCTGGGAGGTGAATATGCGCGCTACGGCGAGGCCAACGTCGCGTTGACTGGGACGCACTCTCATTCAGGCCCTGGTGCCTGGAACAACTATCTACTTCCGCAGATCCCTAGTAAGGGGTTCGATAAGCAGAGCTATCAGGCTATCGTTGACGGCGTGGTCCTCTCCATCAAACGCGCTCATGAAAGCTTGGCCCCCGGTCGCTTGAGCTTTGGCTCCATCGATATCCAGAATGCAAACATCAACCGAAGTCCTTATTCATACGACGCTAATCCGGACGAAGAGAAAGCATGCTACTCGGCCAACGTAGACAAAACGATGACCCTCTTGCGGTTCGACAGGGAGTCAGACAACAAGACCACGGCCATCCTGACCTTCTTCCCGGTGCACGGCACCTCTCTCTACAACAACAACACTCTCACCACAGGTGATAACAAAGGTGTTGCCGCCTGGCTCTTTGAACGGAGCGTCCAGGACGATGCGAATTTCGCCGACGACTTCGTAGCCGGATTCTCTCAATCCAATGTTGGTGATACGAGCCCGAATGTGCTGGGCGCATGGTGTGAGGATGGATCGGGGCAGATGTGCCGTTACAGCGACAGCACCTGTGGTGGCAAGACCGAGGACTGCCATGGTCGCGGGCCCTTCTTCCGTGAAAAAGACAACGGTGCGAAGAGCTGTTTCGAGATCGGACGACTTCAGTACGCCGCGGCCAAACAGTTGTATAGCCAGATGGATGCGAGTAATACTCGGATCGCTGGAAGCTCTAATGTTCGCTCCTTTCACGCTTACCGCGATCTTGCTGGCTACACATTCCAGTCGCCATTCAATTCTAGTATGCTGACGACATGCTCGGCGGCACTGGGCTTCTCTTTCGCCGCCGGTACGACTGACGGACCTGGCCTGTTTGATTTCACGCAGAATAGCTCTGGACCTGCAGAGTCCAATCCGCTGTGGTATGTCGCTCGAGCATTTGTTCATCAACCATCTGCGGAGCAAAAGGCGTGCCAGGCGCCCAAGGATATCCTCCTGGACGTGGGAGCCAACACGCAGCCGTATGCGTGGGAGCCGAATATTGTGGACATCCAGGTCCTCCGTGTAGGCCAGCTGTTCCTCATCATCTCTACGAGTGAAGCGACAACCATGGCTGGACGGCGTTGGAAAGAGGCCATTGCAAAGTCAGCCAAAGACGTTCTCTCTATTAACAGTCCCTTGGTCGTCTTGGGTGCTCCTTCAAATAGCTACGCTCATTACGTTGCGACAGAGGAAGAATATAGTAGGCAACGCTACGAGGGTGCTTCCACCCTTTACGGGCCTCACACTCTCGCCGCATACATCAATCTGACCCTTACCTACCTCCCTTATCTAGGCGATTCGCCCAATCCCGCCACGTTACCGGAGATGCCCACGGGAGTGGAGCCGCCCATCAACACCGACAAATCACTGAGCTTCATCCCTGGTGTCGTGTACGACAGTGCTCCCATTGGAAAATCATTTGGTGACGTGGTCGCCTCGGTAGCTAAGTCTACGTACAAGCCTGGCGAGACCGTCAACACAACATTCGTCGGAGCCAATCCGCGAAACAACCTGCGTCAGGGATCTACGTTCGCAGCCGTCGAGCGGCAGAATCCGGCCTCAGGCACGTGGGAAGTCGTGCGTACTGACAATGACTGGAACCTGCTCTACCATTGGAAACGGACCAATACTATCATGGGATACAGTGAGGTGACCCTCGAATGGCAGATTGAGGATGACTACTACAACGTCGGCAACCCAAAGCCACTCCAGGCTGGAACGTATCGCTTCCATTACTATGGCGATGCAAAGAATATCCAAGGCCAGATCAAGCCTTTTGAGGGCATTGGCAAGCCATTCACCGTGACTTTGGGCTGATCATGTTTTAAAATGAATGTGACGGGTCAATCATTAGCTTTATCGTTAGGTATGAGTTATGAATATGAGTCTATGATAGTCAATGAATAGACGAGATCATTAATAGGGCAGGCTTGCATTCGTCTTTCTGATAAGTATCAGAAGCCTTTCATCTTCTACGAATCTAGACTTCAAGGCAACGATGGCTACCTGTAGATGTGGCAACGCATAGATCCTCAAAGAAACCACTTTCTCTTTGTTTCAATGGACAGATCAAAGACCTTTAAATAATCTGGTCTATTTAAAGAGATCCAGCTGAGTCACCATTGCCAATGATCCGCTGCAGCCTCTCGGGGTCGGCGGTTGGTGCAACGCCTCCAAGCGCTTCTTTGTCGCGCGCCATCCAACCTCGTCGCAACTACCAACCATCTCTCTTTGACATCGAGCTTTGAGACAATCAGCAAGATCCACAATAATGCATCTAGCCGTGTGTTCTTCAGGCCTGGATCGCCTGTCCCTAGCCATGCCAGACGCTAGCTTTCTGCAGCCTAACATAAGGGCTCCTGTTGTGAAAGCCTCAATGCTCTTATAACCTCCATTGTCTGCCAGAAGAGATTGTTCCTTGGCTAGTCTATCATTCTACTGATTGTCTGTCGCTTTCTTTATTCTCTTTCCTTTTTGTCTCCTCTGTCCACGATAATGCTCAATTAGTACGAGTCGACGTCTCGAACGAAACGTCCATCCACTCTTTCGGTCTTCTTATTATTTATCAAGCATACTTTCTCTAGTCCACAACAGTTGTCGTCAATCTTTCAAACTCTCATAGTTTAATACCGTCAAAATGCAGTTAATCCACCTCAACATCGCGCTCTCTCTGCTCGCCATAACGTGTTCGGCTGGCCCGATCGCCCAGTTTACCCACAAGATTCGAGATCTGGAACAAAACAGCCAGAGTCCTGGCCCTACAGCATATCCCAGCCCGGTGCCACTCAATATACATGTGCCGGCGGCTTCTGATGAAGCGAATGGTGGCTTGGACGTCGTTCCCAGCACGCCTTCCGTGACGGCGGATGGTACTCAGACAGCGGTGCCAAAGGCTTCGCATACCTCTACTGAGGTTCCTGAATCTTCGAGGCTTCCGGCAGAAGGGCAGTCGAGCGCATTTACTCCGTTGTCGTCTACGGAGACTACTTTGGCTTCGTCTACAGCGGACAGTTCTCGTGCAACGGTGGATAGTGGGACGTCTAGCTCTACTGAGGTACCTGCATCGTCGACGCTTTCAGCAGACGGATATTTGGGGACAGTTACTCCATTGTCGTCTCCAGGGGTTACTTTGGCTTCGTCTACAGCCGACAGTTCTCGTGCAACAGTGGATAGTAGTACATCTAGCACTACAGAGATACCTGCATCTTCCACACTTGCAAGGGGAAAGCATTCGTCTGCGATCGCTTCCTCGTCCGCAGAAGCTACTTTGCCTTCATCGGAGACATCTGTGGTTGTCGTTCCGATGACCTCTTACTCTCAATCGGCGTCCCACTCAGCGTTAACTCCGAGTGTGTCCAAGTCTACAACCTCAACCTCGATCCCTGTTATCAAGCACAGTCCAACAGCGGGACCTTCACCTGAGCTTTCCACATTTACACCCATTTCAATCGGTATCATTTCACCAAGCTCGGCCTCAGCAAGCACATCCAGCACAAAATCCAGCCTGACTGTTGGTGTCGTTGGACCTTTGACTGATATCGGGACGGCCAGCTCATCTCCTTCAACTACTCTCTTTGCAACGGCTCTGCCAGAGACTCCTTCAACTCCTACGGTGACCGAGACCACGACGTCCAGCCCGACTGCCAGCGTCGTAGGACCGCAACCCGAGACAGATAAAACAACCTCTTTTTCCTCTTCAACAGCATCTGCATCCCCTCTACCAGACACAACACCAACAGAGCCAGCAGGTCAGATTCATACCACCTCCAGCGCACACTCCACACCCACCACCACACAGAGCACAAGTACAGCCGAAAGTACAAATACACACCCGCCCGTCAACTCCACAACACCAGTCCCCTTCATCGGAGAAAGCACAAGCAGTCAGCTCCAGAGCGCTAGCCCTACCGCCAGCACCGGCAGTGACATCACTCCCGTCCTCACACCTGTGATTGTCTTGATTACACCAGGCGCAGAACCGACGTCAACGACAACGACGACCACAACGCACCCAGACCCATACACAAACGCAAACGCAAACACAGATCCAACAAGCAGCCCTGCATCTGACCCTACCGAAGGAGAGGAGATAACCACAATCCACGCGACAGCAACCGTAACCAAGAGCGTGGTTGTATTTGCTTCCAGCACTCCTACTGCTCAGACGCCAGCTCCAGCTGCAGGTGCCAGCACCGAGGAGACTGAGCCGGGATTGGGCTCAAAGATCACACTTACGACGGCTACAGCTACGGCTGCGCCTACTGCCCCCTTCAAAGATCCAGGTGATGCCCATTTGTCCATTGTGCCTGTTACGCCGGGGGTGATGACTGTGACCACTACCAAGACAGAGACTGAGACCGAAACCGTGACTAAAACGGAGAGAGAGACTGTAACGCAGACTGTCACGGAGACTATGACGGAGAAGGAGACTGTCACTTTGCGGGGCAATTAGCTGATTCATTCTTTTGTCTTTGGGAATGTTAGATGTTAGGAACTGGAGTTTAGAGGCGGATGCACTGTACACTGTACTGTACCATAAGGATAATTATAATTTCCTAGATGTAGTTGCCAAATTTAGCCATTCCGTTTGACCACCCGTTCGCATTATATGCAATATATCCGCCCTGAACACCGACCCGCCATAGTCTACATTAAACTGTCAAGTATTCAAATCAAAGCTCAGTAAACAGGCTGAATTTCGCCTGGTAGTCCTTCAGACTCGCCCACTGGCGCAGCTCCTCCTCCTCCTGCTCGCGGTTGCTCAGATAACTCATTCTACGTCCGTTGGCGTGGGGGCTTGTACCGGCCGTGCCCGGTGTGGGCGCCGCGAGTCCCTCCAGGCGGATGAGGGTGTCGATAAAGGCGTGTAGGTAGGATTCCGCCTCGGCGAGGCTGATGGGATTAGGGCCTGGGGTGGCGGGTGTAAAGGTGGTCGTCTCGGCCCGTGAGGCGGGGAGGTTGAGCAGGGTTGACGCGACTTGGCGGACTTTACCGGTCTGACGGACGGTTAGGTAGGTTTCATTGAAGGGGAGAAGAAGAGCATATACATACAAAGCTGGCACCGTTGGGCTCCATATTGAGCTCGTTGACCGACTGTAGCAAGACGAACAAATCTCGAACGACGAGACGGCGTTCTTCTGCCATGGCCTTCCCAATGTAGTCGCTCTGAGCGGCATCGTCGATCCCCTTGTGCGCATTGCCCTCCACTTTCACTGGAGTTCCGGGTCCTGCCTCCTCGGAGGGTCGGTGATATATCTTCCAGGTGGCGTAGAGACTCCAGTACTTCTCCGCCAAGTAGGATCTGGTGGCCAGTTGGCTCACGTAGATATTGGCCTTCTGGATCTCGTATTGGATATGGCGACGCTCGCGCATCCAGGGATCCTCAGCCGCATCCGCGGAATCGTCCCGGTGAGGGTGGAGCGACAGCTCCGGTGGCACATTGGCCAAAGCCGCTTTTGAGTTCTGCAAACATTCGAATAACAAAGACCGTTGCCGCTCCCAATCAACAATTCGTCCACTACCGAACGCAACCTCCCAAGCGGACAGGGCGTTGTACGAGTTATAGACCCGGACGTTGGCGTTGAAACCCACCAGCTGCGAAACTCGGCGGGCTGGCTGAGGTTCGACATGCGTTCTGAAAATAAACTCGTCGTCCACTTCAAGGGGTAATGGTGGGTAACGCTCTGTCGGCGTCTCTGGAGGTAGATAGATCGGCGTGTCAGAGGAGCCTATCTGTTGTATTGATCGGTAGCCAACTAGGGTCACATAGAACAGTCGCCGCGCGAGCTCCTGCTCGATCATGTCCACTGGGCGCTCAGCGGGGCCACTGAGCCGATCCTGTGATGTGCACGACGAAGAAGAAATCGGGCTTGTTGGCCCATAGGACGACTGCATTGTCGACTGGCGGCAGAGATCGTACACATGCAACATCGTGCGGCACTCGGCAAGGTACATCCGACATCGCCGGATGTTGTAGACATAAGCCGAGCAGAGACCCAGGAAGTAGCTGATGGCAGCGTCAAGGACTGTGGCGCTTCGATCGAGGTACCCAACACCTCGAGCTTGCACAGCAACATCATGGCAGCGCTTGACCAAGGCAAGAGAGTGGGGAAAGGCCGCTTTCTCTGCCTCGTTCTTGAGATGAAGCTTTGGTCTCCTTGGGAAGGATGCCACCAGGCTCCCGATCATTGCGGCCAGGAGGGCCAGGAATGTCGGATTGGTGGTGTCCTCCCGTCGCTCAAAGGCGGCGCGAAACGAGGGCTCATGAGGAATGGGGACCAGTGGGTGAATATACGTGAAGAAATCATCCACCAACAGCCGCGCTGTGGGAAAAGCGCAGATGGACTCTACCGAAGATGGAATAGAAGCGGATGTGAGATTCTGGTTAACCGCGGATATTGGTGGAAGCGTCGGTGGAGAGATATCTGACGGACTGGGAGAGATTGCAGTAGGAGGAGCGCTAGGTGAAGTTCCTAGTCTCAGTCTCTTCAGCGCCTCTGCATGGCGATTCGGAGGGCCACGACGTCTGCTTGGTCTGTCATAGGTACAGGGGATGTCCAGGCTTGCACATGACCGACAGGGTGGTCCACTTGTATCACACTTTAGCCGATAAATTAGCCTGGCGGTTCTAATTCAGATCAGATTTATAAAGATCTGATTTCGGCAAGATGAGTACTTTCCTTGACCTTGCGTATACTACAAGCATCACATGCTTTTCGGAGTCTGGTTTTGTTGTCCATTGGCTCATCCGAGTGACTTCGTTCCCATTTCCATGCCTCAGGCCAGAATCATCGGGGATTCAGGCACTCAATGCGGATGAACGTCGCTAACTCGCTATGAAGCCAGCAAATCCCTGGAATGCTTTCTCCGCAAGACGAGGGACGCTTCTAATGGTCAGAGATTCCGGGAACCGATAATTGTCGAACGACAATGACGACGTTCAAGGTATGGCCTCGAGATCCCCCTGTATCCACTCCCCGATGACCCCAAAAGCCAAATACAAAGCTACCCCTCCACGCGCGTCACTGTCGGACGTGAGGTTAAAGATGGCACAGTGAGTATGAAATAATCAAAGATGAAGACAAGAACCAGCCATGCGTAGAAGCGATGGCATGGTTTTGTCTTTTAAAGTTCGAAGTTGGCTCAACAGTGCAGTCCGAGGCCCGGGGAGGTGATGAAACAGCTACCCGAAAGTGGAGGCGATATCGGTATCTTACAATAATGAGGCACTTCGGCAGTGCAAACAGACTAGATACTGGTTGTTCTGGAGCCTGTATCAAGACTTGGCCAGTAATCCTTGCGAGCACTTGTAAAAGGGCAGAGGCATTCAGTAAGTCTAGCAAATGTCGAGCCGCTGGCCTGGATCTTCGTGAATGTTACTGTTTCACCTCAATACCTGTCACGTGACTCATGTCTCCTTTCGTGGAGTCAAGTCCAAATAAACTTTCAACGTAGACTACTACGGACCCAAGACGGAATGGGGGTGAATCTCCGAAGAGTCGACCAGAAAGGCTGGGGGCGAGGATTTGAAACCTCGAGTCCATATCGAGACATCTATGGTGCGACCAGACTGCGCCAGAACGAAGAACTATCACAGTCACAGAACCGTCCGTGGATGTCCAGTTTAAGAAGGACCTCCTTATCAATGTAAATCACTAACGGCACATGATGTTCTAAACTCAGCCAAACAGGTGAAGGGTTAGATTATATTGTCATCATCATGATACTCATTACTCATGCCGTCATGTCGTCCTCGTGAAGCATCACGTTTGTTCTCAATGTCCCTTACCCAGAGGGCAGACCCGGCCGCTGTTGACATGAGGAAGAACATCGATAAGCCAGGAATCAGCTGTAGAAGCAAAGCAACCGTTCCGAATCTGCGTCCATAGATCAGAAAATGATCGGCTGAATAGATCAATGCGCAAGACGAGGTACATACGTAGTGTATTGAAGCTGCCGTCGACGGATGCTTTCCTTCCTTTGCTTCTTCGACAGATCCAGCATCTGAAAATACCGCCAGTGATGAAATGGGCCCGCGCGATAACCGGTCAACAACAAGAACATCGGAGTGCCTGCGACGGGGATAAAGTTCAGGGGCAGGAAGACTATAAACTCGATGATCTGCCGCAGAGAGAACGGCGAATACACCGCGCTGTGGGTCGGTTTACCCAGCCGCTTGAGAACGTCGTCGCCTTGGGGATACAGGACCCTACAAGCGGTGACGAGCTCGCCATGGCCCTCGTTGACAAGAACAGCATCAAAGATGTCCACCAACGTCTCGTCGACAAAAAAGGCCTCAAACAGTAGCGCTACGATGGCCGCTCCTTCTCCAAGAACGAGAAATGCACCATTGACCCAAGCACCGGCGCCTTGGAAGATGGCGAGAAAGGCAACTTGTGGCAGATATGTGAAAAGAAAGAGTATGAAGAGGATAAATGTAGAAAGCAGGACGATAGGTATCAAGCGCGCCCGAAACAGCGGCCAAAGAAATCGATGCGACGCAAAGTAGTAAATCCCCTACGTGACGTTCATGAAGCGGTCAGTGACTATACAGGCAACAAACATTAGTAGGAGAAACATACACGCAAAGGATATAACCAAGCAGCTTTGCTGGGATCCCACAGCCTGTTCATCCCGGGCCTGTCCATTCTGGTCCTAAGCAAGGCTGAGCTACATCGACACCTTAGTAGTCAATCTTGTTGTGGTCATAGTTGAAAGAGTGATGTGATGCTCCTCAGGCGGCCACATTCAAACATGCCAAGACAGACGTCCTTATCGATAAGCAGTAGTATCAACGCTATAAAACCAGAAATTTCTTCCCGCGACTTAATCCTTTTTCTTCTTTTCTCTTTCATACCAAACTGATCACTCCTCCTTATTCACTCTGATATCCATATTTCTCAATGGATCCTGGAGGGGAAATAGGAGGTCAGATGAACGATCGCTGACTTACCCCAAATCCTTCTTACTCTTGTGGAGCGTTTGGAAATATTGACAGCGCACATCACTTTTTCTGTATTGCTGGACTGGCCTTTCGAGCCGTACGAAATGGACTCAAGGACAATTCGCCTGCACATTGTTGCACAAGTAGAGCAGGCTCATAATTTCCCGCTATAGATCGTATGAGGGCTGCTGACAAAATCTACGGCTTGGCCAAGGTTGCTCACTACGGCCGTTGGCTGTAATCCCGGCACTGCTCTTTCACTCCTACCGCAGTTTTTTCGGTCTACATAGACGGCGTTCATGCCTAGGCTCAGCGCTCCTGTGGCATTAAGAGCATTTCCACCGACCAGCCATGCGTCTTTCCATGCATTAGGTTTTCAGTCCTTTCCGCCAAATGATGGTAGACCGCCGGTGAGGGCTTGAATTGCCCAATATCATCGATAAGATAATATCCGGATACTTCCTACGCGGATTGCAAGGTGTTTTGAGCGCAGAATCGCGTTGAAGATC